CTCTAGTGGCCACTAACTCAGCCTTTTCGTTTGGAATATACGTGATACCACCCTTTCTGAGAATGCATTATATCGGACTCACCTACTGACTATATGTAATCACAAAGATGACTCCCACATTCAGCCATTTTATGATAGATTCGCTCAAATTACACCTCTATTAAAGAAGCATAAGCGATCGTTGTAAAATAAAGAACCTAACTTGTAGGTTGGGGTAGATCCCAAGAGGAATATGGTTTAGAATTAACTTTAACTTACGATTACTTGTTTATAGTCAAACTATTTCCGAGCAAAGTAAACAAGGAGGGGGTTGTAATTAAAGGAATAGATTGTTGATTTGAGTCAATAAGTAACGCATAAGCAAGATTAACAATTTGAGAAATCAATATGCGATGAAAACTAGGGCATATATGTTCCCCGCAAGCTCTTAACACACTAATCCTAGTAAAAGTAATACTTTCATAGTGTTTAAATTGCAAAGTTGGTAAGTTGAGTATCCCTAAGTGATTGGTCCTACAAATAGGGAATTTCACCACGCACCTTGGTCCGTCTACGGGTGTATGCTTTACTAACCCTTACCTTTTACCCCAAATTAGTCATCATATCAATGTAGTTTAGTTTTCACCCTCACTTCAATTCAAATTAGACTATTAGATAGCATCCACTAAATCTCCGTTGTTTAATTATTTTCTCATTCATTACCTCCTTGGTTCAGAAAGTACGAACGAGGGAAGTTCTAATGTGTGCACCCATTAAAAACACTTCTAAGTGAAAGGATTAATAATACATTCATAAACACTATTCAAGAATTACTTAATTACTCTTCATACTTTGTTAATTGCTCATGCTTCCCAAACCCTAGTTGTAGATTTAGCTACTCATTCTTGATAATTCACAATTCATAATAAGGTTATAAGAATTCATTAACTTACAATGAGAATTGATGAAAATCCAAATCTTTAATTGAAATTCAAAGTGCAAATCGTATTGACCAACTTCCGAAAATTAAATTGCTAAATGTTTGCAAATATTTTCCAATAACAAAAATTCAAAGTATACAATAATGTTTAACTCCCAAAAACGAGAATTACAACTCTTATTTATAGAAAACAAATCCCAAACTAAGTAGCAAACAATATAAGGAAATAAACTACTCAGACGCGATTTTTGTTGACGCCTCGACCTACTAATTATGGGTCGACCTACGGTCCATAGGTCACCCTCCGTTGTCCAACACATGGAAAATAAATCAGGTAATGTAACTTCAATTCTTTGATATTCAATCGACGGATGTGCAGGATGGCCCGTGGGTCGACCTACAGTCCCTCGATGCCTTCTTAGTTCAACACTTGGTTAGACTTCCTTGAGCTTCCACCTACGCTTTCCCACCTACGCTTTCCCACCTACGGTTCGTGGATTGGACTACGGTCCATCCTGTCAGTTCGTGGTTTTAGTTACTGGAACTCAACTTCCAGACCCTGACCTACGACTGCCCATCCACGACCCGTTAATGGACCTACGGTCCGTGGTTGGCTCCGTTGTTGGTTACTTCTACAATTTTTAGCTCGCATCTTCATCAACCTCATCCAAGCCTATTTCTTGCAAGAATTACAGACAAAAAAATATTTCTAAAAAAAAAATGGCCCAGGACACACACAAACTCTAAGTGCAATGTACCAAAAATACAGTAAACTCATGGTATATCAATGATTTCTTTCTTCACCACTTCTTGTATCAGAGAATTTAATCTTTATTGATTCTCAATACTTGGTGTGCAATCATCCACCAAATTTATTTTGTGAGTGCATAGACCTAGTGAAATACGTACAATAGCGACAATAGACCACCTCAAAGCTTTAATATGCCTTTTCAACACTATAGTCAATAATTCCACTTGTCACTGTTTGAGATCGCTTGCAATAATCACGTGAAGAGTGTTGTGATTAATAACGTTTCGAAGACACTACTTCCAATTCTAAGTGTCAACGAACGTAAATAAGAATAAAACCCAACTAAATTAGTTGGGGTCGAATCCCACAAGAAGCGGTACGTGTCTTAAATCAATTAGGAAGTTTGAATGTGGTCAAATCATCCATAGGAATAGAAATTATCGATTAAAGACCTAATCAAGTAAAAGGGTGAGACGAATGTCAGATGGGGGGTTTTGGTTTTAGTTATCAACTACAAAAAGTCGCAAACACTAGGAATTAACAATAAGTAGACGGATTCTTGGGATGTGATCGATTATAGGCAACTATAAACATATGGGTAATTGCAATTATTAGTAAATAGCTAGATATTAGTGAGTAGGCTAGGCTATAATAGATGTAATTTTCTCTCGAACAATTACCCCGAATCAGGTGATTTCTCTCGAATATCAACAAGCATGCAAATTAAGAGCAGCCCACACCTTAATGCATTCACTCTTTCGAGCTAAATGTGTGGGATTTGATTTAGGATTTACTCTCTCAAGCTAAACCCAGATCAACCTAATACCCACAAACCATCAATGAAGAACCTTAGTTCTAAAACCTCTCTCTCGAGCAAGCCAAAAACACAAACATAAAACTGCATTTGAACTACGATTCTTAAATGAAACAACAATTAATGATTAAACTCACTTTTAAATAGCATTTAAACTAACAATTAGCAAACTCATAAGCTAAATCAGCCCATAATCACATGAACACACTTAAAGAATTGGGGTTTTAGCTAGACATTATCAAACGGTAAAAACAGTGACGGAATTGATTATCCATCAACTAGGTATGAGTGATTTCGTGTTTACAATGCTCCAATTTGATAAATCTCAAATACCCACTTCCAATTTCTCAATAGTGAATTTCTTCAATCCTTCAAAGCTCAGGAAAACTCTAGAGAAAACTGTCTCCAGATGATAAAAACTAATTCTAATGTAAAAAAACATGTGAAAAGATTCCAAAGAACCTAAACTAAATGTACAAAAACATATTTATAGTCGCTGAAAATACGCTACGAAAGCCCATTTGGCGAAGTAACTCGTGCTCGCCGAACCACTCGGCGAGCCGCCCTTTGGTCTCTTCCATCGTCCTTTCACCTAGGCATTCAACATCATCAAGGTCTATAACTTTGGGCGATCTATCTTGGCTTCGCGAAATAACTCGGAAATTCACTGACTTCTCCTTTTAGTCACCGACTTGGTTCTTTCTTTATGGGCTTGGCACACTGTAACTTTAGGCAGTTGGATGAGCCAATCGGTGACATGCCGAGTGCTCTTGGCGATCCTCAGGCTTGCTCTTTTTCATATCTTCAGCTTGTTTTGTTTCTTTTATTGCTTGTTTGTGTCCTTGCTTTGTTCCTCAATCCATATACTTAAAAATCAAGTATTTAACATTAGTTATTTGCACAAATTAAATATTTGAGGACACTAAATCTATATAAACAAAGCCCTAAATGAGTACAAATCTCGGACTCATCAACACACCCAACTTAAACGTTTGCTTGTCCTCAGGTAAAACTCAAGTTGAGCAGTTCAAAAAAGATGTCTCAAACAGTTCTTCATAAGACTCAATCATGAATGTACACAACAAGACTCAACTTACTCATACAAGGATCAATTGTGCACTAAAAGATTCAAGTTGTGACTTACCATTATCAAAGATGCAGAAGTTCACAATACTTGCTTCAAATGCAAAGTCAAGCTCAACAAAGGTACTCAAATGCCCTTGCAACAAAGATGATTCCATATACACACACAATTCTTCAACAATTTATAGTTCCAAAATCACAAACGAATCTCACTCTCACAAAGACAGACACATGCATAACTTCACCCATAGGTTTGCCCTTATTTTCCAATCAACATTCGTTTTAGCTCACTCAAGATCAAAAAGGTCTTTTCAAGGCTTGTAACGGGAATGAGTGTAAAGGTATGGTCATTTAGGCTCAGTGGTTGCTACCCTCATAAAATGTGGTTTGAACATCAGTTTTCTTCCTTTTTTTAGCATTTTTCTCAAGCTCAAAATTCACCCCCATTATTCAATTTCCAATGAACTACCAGACACCCCATTTCTTTTGCAACTTTCACAACTTTTTCATTCTTATTCTTTTGCTTTCTTTCTCTCTTTTTTTATGGAGAGGTTCCATCCTTTTCAAGATCATGGATCAAAGTGGACTTTTTCACACTTCTTGATTTACCTTTTCTTTTCACCACCCTAAGTTGGCTATTAAAAAAACCACGCTTCATGAGAGTTAAAGGTGAAAGGATAAATAGTGTCACAATTGCTCAAGTTTCTTTCAAGAAAAGGATAAAGCTCAAAGGGCTTCAAGAGAAGTTCACACATCTCACAAGGCTGGCCACAAAAAGAGGTATATTGTCAAATTGTTTAACTCCTCAAAATCATTGCCTAAGATCATTTCAAGAGCTTGCATCACTTAGTTAATTGAACCAATGGGGAAAATTCTAGGAGTCACCACACACAATGTTCATGGAAAGCTCATCAGACAAGGCATTGGAACAATATCAAATGAGACTCATTCGAACTACTATACAATGTTCATTACAAGAGACTCCGTTCAATAATCGCCTAGTCACAACGAGATACAAAAAGTCCACATATTGTCTATGCAATTTCATTTGCCCTTATCTTAGCCACACATTCATTTTTGTTCAATTACGAGCACTATTCAAGTAATTGGAATTGATCATAACTGATACCAAAATTTGCATAAGAACAACCACATTCAAACAGAACAAGAGGTGGCAAATATTTTCAGATGGGTCAAAAACCATTTCTATTCAAAATAAGAAGCCACAAGCTCAAATATCCACCAGATAGAATCAACACATAATTTAAAACAAAAAACCCAATAAATATATATATACACAAAATATAGTTACAAGAGGTAGGTATAGAAATACCTCACCCCACCCACAAAAGAAAAGCAGTTGTCCTCAAATGCAACTAAAATAATCAAAATTCAATAGAACTGACAAAGAAGGAGGTAAAGAAGAATCTTGTCTACTCAGTCGCTCCATCTGTCAGGGCATCAATGTCTGGTGTAACATCAGCTGCAACCGCACTCGAATCAGGCATAATGGTGTCTCTCAAAGAGGTTTGTCGGCTGGTGTAGAACATAGCATCCTCCAAGTCGGCCAGATCCACAAAAATAGCCTCATATCGCTCCCTAAGATGTACTTCATTTGTTCCCACCTCTGACTCAACAACAACCACATCATCCATAAGCACATCTCTGGTGGTAGTCGGAGGCATCTCAAAAGTAGTTGGGACATCCTGAGCCACTGCTGACTCAAAGAGGGAAGTAAAGTCTGTGGACTTCAGATAGTCCACATCGTTTCTCAAATCTAAGACCTCGACTTTTAAAGCCATCACCTCAGAAATAACCTCCTGTCGACTCTCACAAGTCTCTACTCTCGTTGTAAGAGCATCAATAGATGTCTGGAGTGTTGTCAAAGCAGCTAAGATGGCTCACTCAATTATCCAAGGAACCTCATCCTCAAGCTGGAAAACCTGCACATCGGTAGAATGGGCTAGGTGTCCCATCTTGAGGAGCATGGCCTGAGTGATCCTAGTAGGATGAGGAGCTACAGAAGGAACTGGGCTTGGGAAGGAGTGGAAGCGGGTGTACCTGAAGGCCCGGAGGTCGATGTAGGCAAAGAAGCCTATGCAGCTATGGACTCAGCATCAACCTCTGGGGATTCATCCACCAGAGCAACTCTCCTCCTATCTGCCTCATCCCGTGTGTACTCGACCTCTATGGGCCAGATATATGTGGATGATGTAGGGGAAAGAAAGGGTTGTATGGCGTTGTTAGACCCTCATGGCCATCTCTTGCTCTATGTTAACCCCAAGTCAATGCTTTTACGGGCTATGATTAATATGAGACCGGCTACCTTTGGGTAGCAAAGGATGGACTCATTTTGTGAGGGCATGATGAAGCATCTTATCAACCCAAACCAATACTGAGATACTATATTCAAGTCTTTCTTCACAATAGGAATGTTGATCTCAATCCAACTCGGGTGGTATCAGTAATAACGGGAGCTAGCCACATCTCTTAGGGTCATCGAGAGGTGTCGCAATAGTAGCGTAACTCAAGTAGGCAAAACCTGACCTTTTATCAAGTACGGAGTTGATATAATCACCGTTGAATCGCACTTCTTTTCCACAGACCATGATGGAATCTATTGGTCTAAAGGCACTGGCCTTCTTCTTTCCCTTCGGTACCAGGACATCGTACGCCGTGTAAAACTCTCTGACCCATGTAGGAATATATGGGCCATGGGGCCTGGTAAACTGCTCAAACCTGTGGAACTAGAGAGTGTCCAAGACTTTACGGTACCTATCCACTACACCATCCGTGGACAATGTATTTTCCTCTAGAATGGTCATCAGTCCTTCGGCTTTTATCCTATTAGGTAGCCGGGAAGAGGACCCTGAATTGGTGGTGCTGGAACCACCATCTATGTTGGAGCTGGCATTGTATAATCAGCAGGTGGTGTAGCCTCTGGGTCTTAGACAGACCTTGATGACCTATTGTACGAATCTCACCTCACCGGGATTGAAGTGGTTGGTCATCCTCAAAGCTTAGACAATGCAGCCTGAGAATCAAAAGACTCTCCATCACTGCCAGAGTTGTCCCCCGGTATCTCAGCTGCGACACTTTGCCCTTTCCCTTCCCTTCTTTTGGAGGTGCTTGTTTTCCCTTTTTAGAAGAACCAACTGCTCCCTCATTAGTCACGATGCCCCATGCTTGTTTGCGAGGTGGCATTCCACTCTCGTCCCAGTTGGTCCTAGCCATAACTGCAAAATACATAGGGAAAACTTAGAATTAATTTAAGAAAAATCTCAAAATTTAGTTGCAGAAAGACATACCTTACCAATCGGTGAGTTGCCGAGTCACCTTGGCGACCCAAATCGGGCTCGCCAAAAGGACTGGCTTGAAAATTTGCCAAAAAAATGGCAGGTCGGTGATATGCAGGGCCCTTCGGTGAATCGCAGACATCACTCGGAGAGCTCAAACGAGCCCACTGAAAGTTACAATTTGTTTAAAGGGTTAGGGGCACAGAAAGGGCAATCAAAGGAGACTTTCGGTGAGCTCAGGCTTCCCGCCAAAAGTTACAGACTCTAACTAGGAAAAAATACAAAATTAAAGGTGATAAAGGGGGACATTGGCGAACCAACGAGCGATTCGGTGAGCTCGACCCAGCCCGCCGAATTTCCCAACGTGCCAAATTTCAACCCTGTTTCCCAAATTGAAACCCACAACCCCCAAAAACAAAATTAAACTACACACTTATGCAATTAAACCTAGACCCATTCAACCCATGCCACCGGGCTACTCTGACTTCCCCCGGTTTGGCCAAAATTGGCCATTTGATGACTTTTTCCCTTAAGAATGATGTCAAACGCTCAATCATTGGGCAAAGTACGTCATTTGGCACAATTGGAATTACTCAGACTTGACCCAACTAGATCGAACAAATATTTACCGCAAACTAATAAATTATGATAAATTTGAAAGAACAAAACTCAGGAAATCAACAATTTAGCAATTAAGCACAATTACGAAACTATGAAACGAATACTAGCACAACAACTAACAAATGCATTCGAGTTCAACCACTATTCGAGAGTTCGATGTTTGGAAAACCAACCTTTGAGCTGAAATAATAGTTTGAAATGCTAGGTGGCAAAGAAATCATAATCTGACCACGAGATCAAGAGCAAAAAGCGATAAGAATAACAAAAATATGGGAAATATGAAGTGCGGGTGTGTGTGTACGGGGTTAAAAATGGGAGAATATGAAAGATTTTGAAATTTTAAACCTTTGTCTTTTGAAAACCATTCAGTTCGTGGCCCTTTCAGCGATATTAGTTATCACGACCCAAGGGTACACCCTAGATGTAACATGGCGTACTTAACCCCGAAGGGGGTTCATACAAGAACTTCGCATATCATAACATAAGATAACAGAAAAGTACGGAAATTTTAAAAACTTTTATTAATACAATCGAAGTATTTCATAAAAACAAGCGGAAGTCTTTACTACACTTTTGTCTCAAACCATCTAATACAACTTTGAATAAAAATCTTGGGACATAGTCCATACAATAGTCTCAACATGAAAATAAAAGACATAAAGGAACTAGTGGGTAATGACCTCGAAGCTATGATGACTCACCAAAATCTTCAACTCCTTTGCTCCTTAGAAACGTATCTCCAAAACTATAACTCAAGTCTCCAAACGCTACATTTGATGAGAATGTAGGCAAAGTATGGGTTTATATGTTAGCTATCATAACATTGTAAGAGCATAAGATAAGGGTTAGTAAATATAAGACATAATCCATAACCATTTAAAAATACTTCATAAAACATCAATTATAAGCATAAGAGACAATATCATAATAATAAGCAAAGTCTCCTACATAAGAATCATGTAAGCATTTCTCAACTTCTAGTCATTCTCATCATAATAAGACCACTCTCAAGTAACCTCAAAGCATACTTGTGTCATGCATGAGTTGTATCCCATAATACCATCCAAGCAAAGTATCCCTTTTTGGTCATCTTAATCATAGTCTATATTCATAGTCAAGATCTAGGCTTTCATATACTAAGAGCATTATAGTTCAAAGTAAACTCAAAGCACACTTGTGGAATGCATGAAAGGCATCCCATAAAAATATTCACAGTAAGCATAACCTTGAAGTCATCATAGTCATACTTATCCTCGTTTGGTCTCATTTTTAGCTTACTTCATAACCAAGGGAATCTCTCACCTTTAGTCAATCATAACATAACAAGGAAGGCAACTATAGCACAATCCTATCTAAGAATACATCATATAAGAGAAACACTTCATGTGTCTCCTTAAGGAAAGCTTGTGTCATGCATGAACAAGACCCCATAATCCTACTCATGCTAAGCTAGACACTTTAGGTTCATCATTCATGTATTGGAGGGGACTATAAAGCTACAATCCAAAATAGTCATGTTCATGTTAATAAATGCAAGGGGGAGTCACCTCAAGGCATACATGTTCAGTTCATCATGATGGATAAGGGGAGTCACCTAAAGCCACATATATATCATGAAATCATAAAGACAATGGTATTCACCTCTAGTCATACCTACTAATGAATCATAATGACAAGGAGAATCACCTCTAGTCATAGATCTAATTAATCATAGGTCTTCACCTACATGTTCATTGTTAATGGAACATAGGTATTCACCTCTATATTCATTTTAATGTTATATAGGTATTTGCCTCCATATCTATTTTAATGTGTAATGTAGGTATTCGCCTCCACATCATCACATAAGGATCAATTGTAATCGCCTCCGTGATCAACCAAAAGGCTAATGGGTAATCACGCCTTAGGCGTCATACACACAAAAAGGGTACTCACCTCACACTCCCTCATATAATGACATGGGTAATCACCTCATGTTTTACTATTTAGAAGTAAGGGAACTCACCTCACATTCTTATCATGTGAAGGCCTTTTAGGGGAATCACCACAAGCCTCATCACATCTCATAGTCCTAGGACTTAGATTCATTTTAGGTGAGAATATACATTCAACCTAGAATCATTCTATGTGTGAGAACCTTTCATGTCACATCATATTCATGCATAATACTATATCTAGAATTCTAAATTAGACATGGATATCATCATGACTCAAGTGATTCTATCACTTCATACATTCAGGCATTCATATGGTAGATTAGGTAGGTAAAGGTCTTCCACCATAACTATATCCATTAAACCTCTATTCTCATATAGACTTCATTCTCAAAGCTTTATTATGCCTAGTTCATCAAATTGGTTTTACACTCAAAACCCTAATGATCAACATTCATGACTATAAGCCTTACACTCAAAGCTTTACTTCTTACTATCATCATTCATACCTAGATTTCAAAGCAATCTAGTTACATTCTTCATTATCAAGTGATTCTAGGCACAATTCCTCATATAGGTTCAACTTCAACTTTACTAGTCAAGATCCATCATATTCACATTATTCTAATTCAATTCATGTGTATATGTTTGTATTCTTAATCAATTACTACTCATAACACTAATTCTAGAAGATCACCTAAGAATGATCACGTTTACTTTTCATGGCATGAACCCACATAATAGAAAATTCATCAATTAGGCTAGGGTTAATCATGGAAATCACATAAATTCATCATAATATCACAACTCAATACTGAATCAATCATAATTAAGTATTATCCACTTGATTGGAATCATACTTCAACACTACCCACAATGTAGGAAGAAACCCTAGCTAGATTGGGGTTTTCTTAACAATTGGGGGAAATCTAGGGGGCTCCATGGGTTAAAGAAGCCATAGATGAATAATCTAAAATACCTTATAGAAGATTCTCCACGAATTTGAGAAGAAAATACAACCCCCTTCAACCCTACACTTCACCTTCTTCTTCTTCTTTTAGGGAGTTTTAGAGAGTGAACTATTTGGAGAAACTTTGGTTTGTTTTGAGGTATTGGAAGAATGAT